CCATAGGAATTGAGTGAATCTGCCTGATCTTCACAATTTAACTTCTGTATACCACGCAACAGAACCTAGTTAGAACGATTATAAAATTAACATGAATTTCAAAATTAAATAGTTTACCTCTGATTCATCAATTTCTTGTGTATCACTATCCTTTCCTTGTTCATGGCAAACCATTTGCTCCCCATTCTCCATTTTTATATTTAGACAAGAGTTCATTTAGGAACACGATAAAACCTATAAAATCCATTACCACAACATTGTTGTAAGTTTAATATATGGATATATTCTATTTTTGCATTAACCTGATGAACAAGATGTAAGATATTATAATAATATTTGATTATACAATTAACAAATTTGGGCTTGAATTAAGCTAAAAATAATTTTAATAGTGGTATTTCTTTAATAGTGGAATATAATGAGTTAAATAAAGAAAAAATGGGTTGTTTGAAATGATATTGTAGTTTTTCTTTTGGCCTAAAATATGCTACTTGATATGTGCTTTGAAAAGTGACTCAAATCAACACACTACTTCCTGTTTTCCTTATTCATTATACATGTGTGTTCATATTTTAATGGGTTGGCCTGAGTTTTCATATTTTAATGTGTTCCTAAATGAGTCAAACCGCATGGTCTCAAGTGTAGCCTAATTAAACATAATACAAATTATAAATACACTGTAATATGTATATCTATATCATATCAGTCTTGGCGTTTTTTCCCCTATTAGCACAGTTTTACGTTTTATTCAATATATATTTGTTTCTTTTAGCAGTTACAACACAACTTGGTGTGTAATTCAATATATATTTGTTTCTTTTCAATGTTTCATGCAGAATGATCTACCATAAGTGTTCCTAAGATAGCACAGTTTTGGCATATGCACATCATTGCGCGATTGTTCTCCGATTTCTATGCAATAATCTAAATGAAGATGTTGAATACCTATTGAATTGATCTCACGTGCAACAGAAGAAGGGTATAAATTACTGGATTTCTTTCTGTTGTCACCTCCCGTTCTTCGTGCTTGAGCTTCCCAGTTTGCACGTTGGGCGCCCTGCGCCTTCCTAGGGGTTTTCTTGCGTTTTTGCCGATCTGTGGTAGTGACGAACATGAGTTTTCCTGCGTGTCTAGTTTAAGCGACCGTTAACTAGTAGTAAGGGTAATTTAGATATTCAATAATTATTATTTCATTCTATTTAATTGAGTGGCTGTGTTTAGTGATTGCACTAATTGGGGGGCTGTATATAGAAATCCCCTTAAATAAAAACACTATAAGAAAAATACGAATAATTCTCTCTATACAAAATGGTAATGCTGTCTCGTTAAAAACCTTGCCGAGGAAAATCCAGTGGGACAAAACCTTGATCAAGGGAAAAAGAGTGCAGCGCGTGTATACTCCCCATGTTAAGTGCATTGCTTCAGGTCTTCTTGTTGAATCCAATTCAATCCAATCTGGTTACTAATTTCTCCCATGAAAGATTATACAATGTGTGTGCCTCGTTAAAAACCTTGTTAAAATCTTTGGCCAAGAAGCCCTTTGGGACAATAACTTGGTCCAAAATCTTCTGGACTAATTAATTCTTTCACCTCAAGAACAACTCATTATGTTTAAGCAAATACATACGATAAACGACTCCCGCATAATTTGAGTTGATGAAAATCTTTTATATATTAACCTCCATCGTTATTTACAGATTTGATGGACATTAGTCATCAAACTCTTCACGAGTTTCTAAGCAGAAGCAATTGTATAAACTTCATGATTCTGCAATGTGTATTTCAAGACCATCAAGTTTATTGTTATTATGCAATAATTGAGTATTCTCAAATATTGGTCGATCTATAAAACTTAAATGGGACATATTTTCCCAGGATCTCAAATTAGTATAAAAACACTTCAGGTGTTTACAATGTAATGACTAGATATTTATTTATTATATAATCAAACAACATTCAAACCAACAGATTCTCATGTGTTGTTTCTTAGTTTGGTTAGATGTTTAAAAGTCTCCAACACCTTTATGTATACAATTTGGTTCATACAATAATATATGTTTACTTCGGGTAAACAAATAGAAGGTATATGAATATTATTTATCGACATCATCTACTCCTTGGTAGTATAAATAGTAGCATTTATTTCATTGTAAGGGGTTGACAACTTATACATATTCTCTAGCAATAGCAATTATCTCAGCTCTTCCTAGCTCAGATAGACGATCGGCGTAACGGGCTCATATTGAAGTGTGTTGTGATAGGCTCTTATTATTGTTGAATAAGACATGGCCCACTTACTAGATATTTCTTCTTGTTTTCCATTTATTTCTTGTGCTTACTCATCACTTATAATCCACTAAATATTCCACCCGAAACCCATAGGAAGATGTTGGGCCTTTGGAGTTGAAGGAATAAATCTCAACACTATTAAAGGTGGGGCAAGAGAGGCAAGAGGGTGGAAATGCCGCAATGGAGGACATCCTTGTCATGGTGCCTAAGGTAACTTCCCCCCAAAGCCGCCACTGTCGAAAGAGTCCAGCGGGGTTTGGGGCGCGGCAGCTTGTCCTCATGCTAGTGCATGCATGTGGTATGAAGAGTTAACTTGTATCTCTCTACAAGATGGATGCTGGCCTCGAACAGATTCAAGACGTCCCATTGAGTGAAAATATCATCAAGCATGTGAGGAGTGTGGGCTGGATAAAAGGTGAGATAAGAATTGTTTTACCCTCTTTTACTTATAATGATTTTCAGGAGATTTGATGTCAACTTAGGTAGTAGAGAAATTTGTACATATCATCCTCAAATGTTCCGGATGAGAGCACAATGTTGGTCCTAAAATTAAAAGTCATGGGAAATGTTTGAGTCCACAAAGACCATCACTAGCTAGCTACATGAAGAAGAAGAAGAATAAGAAAAGGAGCAAAAGGGTGGAGATGCTGCAATGGATGACATCCCTGGATCTTCGATTTAGGTCTAGTTAGAGACCGCAAACAATCCAAGGAGGACCATGACACAGAGGTAGCATGGATTACCAAGCTCGTTCAGTCCTTGGACTAGCTATACACGCGTATGACCACATTCGAGGCGCACACAATTGGGAGGGCAGCAAATAGTAGAAAAACTATTAATAGGTTATTGATAGGTTTACACAAATAGGTTCTGAATCGCATCAATTGGGAAGACAACAAATAGTAGAAAATCTTATTTGTTGCGGTTCTGAACCGCAACAAATAATCATTTAAAAAAATAAATTTTCACTTATTGCTGCAGTTCTGAACCGCAGCAAATAGCTATTTTAAAACTCGAAAATTCTCTTTTGATGCTTTGATAGACATGAAATATTAATCATTTAAGATAATAGTTAGAAGTAAAAAAAAAGATAACAATATGATCTGATATAATGCAATGACAATCTTTTAGTGTCTACATAAATAATCTATGCATATTCATATTTGTATATATGGTCAAATTCTTCTACTGAAAATGAATTTACTTCTACTACTAACTCCAATCTAGTTAGTATTGCCCTAAAAAAATAGTTAGTAATATCCTAAAGGGAAAAGGTGCAAATAGGCCCATGTCAATGTTCTAAAAGGCGCTAGGCGCTAGTCGGGCGCCAGCCCAGCGCCTAGCGCCTAGTCGGCTAGGCGGGGACTAATCGGAGACATTGAAATTGTAGTTTTATCAATATTTTTGCATAAATATGATTAGTAATGTTGTATTTGTGTGTGTATAAAAAATATATACACACACATACACATTAACATGCATGAATGATAGAGTTATCACATTTAATAATATATTATATCTACTCACTTACTCACTAGTAGTTTTCTTCACATGCATTGTCAAAGTTAAAGGTACATATTTCTTAGGATACTATAATAAAAAGGCAAAAAAACAAATTGTTCGGTGAATCTAGACGCCTAGGCGGCCCATTAAGCGCTCTGGGCGGGCAACTAGCTATAGGCGCCCTAGACGGCCGACGAATTCACCTAGGCGCCGATTTAATTAGTCGGAGGGCCTAGACCAAAATCGGAGCGCCCGACCACCGCCTAGAGCCTAGGCGGGGACTAGTCGGGCGCCTAGAGCGATTTTTAGAACAGTGGCCCATGTACTAACCAAAAAAGGTCAAATAAGCCCTTATTTACGAGGCTCTGTCCGGACGTCACCATTTGGGGTCGTTCCCGGTGGAATTTTTTGATGAAATTTTTTGGGCATCGTATTCATGAAGTCTAGTTTACTCATACCAAATTTCAGCTAAAACTTCAATCGTGAAGGCATTCAAATGAATTCTTGAAGATAATTGCGCTTTTAACCGCGCAGTTATCTTCAAGAATTCATTTGAATGCCTTACCGATTGAAATTTTAGCTGAAAATTGGTATGCGTAAACTAGACTTCATGAATAAGATGCTCAAAAAAATTCATCAAAAAATTCTACCGGGAACCACCCCGGCCAAATGGTGACGGCCAGACAGAGCCTCCTAAATAAGGCCTTGTTTGACCTTTTTTGTTAGTACTTAGGCTTATTTGCCCCTTTTGCCTATCCTAAAAAACACATCCCAAAGAAATGAGACCCTAGATATGTAATCTGCAAATATAATTGCAAACCACTGCCTACATTAAAAAAAACCTCTAAACAAATCATCCAATTCGGCGATAAAAGTGTAAATCACCGCTTTAATTAAGGGGTGTTTGGATCTTATTCTTAAAACTCTTTCTGCTCTTTCAGGAAGCAGAAGCAGAAGTTGGATTGTTTGTGTGAAAGTGCAGAAATGATTCTGGTGCTTTAATTTACTTCCAAACATCCCAAAAACTGCAACAAAACTCCCTTACTCGGCGATATAGCACATATGATTTTCCCAAGTTGTACATTATTGATTAAAAAAGTTATGCCCCCGATTCAGAGGTACTAGCCGTTGCGGTTCAAAATTGACGGCTCTGGTTTATCCACAAGGTGCAAATGGGTTATGGCCATTTACTAAACCCCAAAAGCATTGTCTAAGGTTAAGCTTGATGGGCATAGTCTTCCTCTTTACAGATCCAAAGCTCATCGTCCAATCTCTGGAATTCACCAAGCAGATACCCATAATTATCAATTATGGGAACTCCATATTTCACAGAGAAACTTACTTCTCTCCCGTCGGCCATGGGAACCCACTTCCCCAACCACATCCCGCCATCATCTTCATCCTCTACAACCCGAGATTCCTCAAATTCAATTTTCTGGGATTGATGGTAGGTTTCTAGTTTATCTTCTTCTTGAGTTTGAAACGTTCCCATATAAATACTTTCTTTGGTCATTGGGTTAACCTCAGCTGACGAAATCATCTTGCTTTCCTCAATCTCCGATTCGCCATGTTTGAAATCCTCTGTTTTTTTAGATTCGTAAGCCTGTGAAGCTTCTTCTTCTGAAGTTCTGTTGGTACCCGGTCCAGGATCAGAAACTGCGGTCTTTTCCGGCTCAGTGATAATCGGATTCTGCTTCTTCTCATTCTCTAGTCGTTGTTTGGCTTTAGCAATTCTCTCGAAATCCAGCTTCTTGGAAAGGTAAGCGCCCTCTGTGTTGAACATTCCCAGCCAAACGCGCCGCCCGGTGAACGGGTTGTTTATCACCGCCCCCCACTTTCCCCCAATCTCCTTCCTAACCCCAGGATTGGTGGCTCTCAGCCTATGACCCATACCCAAATTCGAATCCGTTGGACAATCGGGTAGCGGATCAGGACCCGTAATCGACTCGGGTAGCGGATGAGGACCCGTAATCGACTCGGGTAGCGGATGAGGACCCGTAATCGACTCGGGTAGCGGATTAGAACCCTTACTGGAAGCGTGTTGCGGATCAGGACCCGTACCCGAATCCGGTTTCGGATTAGGACCTGCAGGTGATTCGGGTTTGTGAACGAGATCAGTGGGTGAAACGGGTTGACTAACCAAATTCCTTCCAATATCGCAATCCGGGTGCGGATCCAAAACTGGTTTCTTCGCCGGATCGGTCAATGGGACTGGACATGCAGTCTTTTTGCTAGTTTTAATCTGCTTCTTTACTCGTTTGGTTTTCTCGAACTCCAGCTTCTTGTGATGGTAAGCTATCCAAGCTGCTTCCTTGGAATGGAAAGTTCCCAGCCAAACCTGCCGCCTCAGAACCGGGTCTCCGATCACCGCACCCCATTTCCCATTATTCATTTTCCTTAACCCACGGTTCAAGCTTCTCGGGTTTTGCCCCTCATCCATGCACAAACCGGGCACCGGATCCGGATCGTGAAAACCAGATGGACTAGTCTGGACCTCCTTCTCTATTCCTTGTTTGGCTTTCTGGAACTCTAGCTTCATGGAATTGTAAGCGTGCGAAGCTGCTTCCTCTGAATCATAAGTGCCCAGCCAAACCTGCCGTTTGGTAAACGGATTTCTGATCACAGCGCCCCACTTCCCTCCCTTCATTCTCCTCAAGCCAGGCTTTGATCTTCTCCGGGTTTGGCCCGGAGACATGTGCGAGTCTGGTTTTGGATAAACTTCTGAAACTACTCTCTGTTCTCGATCATTGCTACTGTTAACACTGGAGGGAAGAGTCTCGAACTCCTCGATTCCCTGTTTGGGTTTCTCATGCATCGACTTATTGGAAATGTAAGGGGTTGGAGCTGCTTCTTGGGAAGCAAAAGTTTCCCTCGATTCCATTTTTCTTCTGCATCTAGGCAGAGACCAGAAATGAAGAATTCTTTTATTTTTGCTGTAACCTCCGATAGTAGTATTTTTTATTTTTATTTTATGTAATTCTGAATTTCTGATGTTATGCAGCAACTTGTATTGCTGGAGAGGTAACATCTGTCAGCCTGACAGACACCGCCGCGAACCTCATGAAGGATGGCCTCCACCGTCTTTATTTTTTTTGGCTAAAGGGTCAAATAGGTACATGAACTAACTCAAAGTGTTCAATTAGCCCCTTATAAAGGAGGTTCTGCCCGGCCGTCGCCAATTGGGGAGATTCCTGGTGGAATTTTTTGATAAATTTTTTTGAGCATCTTCTTCATTACGTCTAGTTTACCTATACCAAATTTCAGCTAAAAATTCAACCGGGAAGGCAGTCAAATGATTTTTTGAAGATAACTGCGCAGTTAACAGCGCAGTACATTTCGGAAAATCATTTGACTGTCTTCCCGATTTAATTTTTAGCTGAAATTTGATATGGGTAAACTAGACTTAATGAAGAAGATGCTCAAAAAAATCCATCAAAAAATTTCACCGGGAACCGCCCCAATTGACGACGGTCGGGCAGAACCTCCTATATAAGGGGCTAATTGAACACTTTAAGTTAGTTCATGTATCTATTTGACCCTTTAGCCTAATTTTTTTTTTGCATTTTGCTAAAGATATGCTCGGTACCGTGTTACTATGGTTTAAACGAATCGAGTCGAATAGTACTATTTTGTATTTGTATTTGTTTAATTTTTTCGATTACGAATTCGAATTAAAATATGAAATGAATATTAATTTTTATTTGTATTTGTTTAACAATACGAATAGTTAACGAATCATATACGAATATCGAATCGATTTGAGCATAAGTTAAATATTAGTTATATATCACTTTAAAATAACTTTTCTTATATTTTTCATGTTGTAAATGCATGTTGTGACTTAATATGTGCTTTAAGAATTTAAGTTTAATTGATCAATGCATTTTTAGATTGTGCACAATATACTAAAGTTAATTAATTTTAGGAAAAATTGACAAAAATAATCTCATCTTTCGCTGGTCTTCTCATAATAATCTCACATTTAGATAATCCCAGAATAATCCCACCTTTGCACCTCATCTTCTTTCATTGGACCCTGATCATGTTTTTTACTCTTTTTTTGAAAATCATATAAATAATCTCACCTTTCACTTTTCTATTATATCTTTATAAATGTGAGATTATTTATATAAGATTTTCAAATAAAGGTAAAAAACTTGGTCAGGTCCAATGAAAGAAGATGAGGTGCAAATGTGGATTATTTTGGAATTATGTAAAGGTGGGATTATTCTTGTCAATTTTTCCTTAATTTTATGATTAATAAGCATAAATCTCTTTCGAACATTTTGAAATAAACACCAACACACAAATATTAGAAATTATACTTATAATGTGTGAAATAAGTTGACACTTGTATATATCAAAGTCAAACGACTCTAATGTTATTCTTCCAATTGAATACATAATTATGTGTATTGTATTTGAAAGACGTTTGAACAAAAAATATAATTTGCATTCGTATTTATATTCCAATTTACTACAAATGGGTTTGGAATCTGTATGTATAAATGTATATATGGCTACACTTTGAGGGTATTGCCATCTTTTAAAAGTTATTATAGTGTTATTACTATTATTATTATTATTATTATTATTATTATTATTATTATTATTATTATTATTATTATTATTATTATTATTATTATTATTATTATTATTATTATTATTATTATTATTATTATTATTATTATTATTATTATTATTATTATTATTATTATTATTATTATTATTATTATTATTATTATTATTATTATTATTACCACTATTATTAATTCGAATATATTTGATCAATATCCGAATTGAATATACTGATATTCATATTTGTATTTGATAACAACTCGAATCAAATTTAATATTCTTATTTGTATTTGTATTTGAATTTTACGAATTCGAATCGCGAATCGAGCACAAATTATTTGATTCATTTACAACCCTACGTGTTACACCGTATTTATTTATTCTTCTCACTCTCTCTTCGTTGTTTCTTCTTCTGTTTTTTGGATGGAGAACTATCAAATAAGCCATCGAAATTACATAAAAATGCAAATTACTCCTTATGTAGGAGGCTCTGTCCGGCTGTCGCGATTTGGGGCGGTTTTTGGTGAATTTTTTTGATGAAGTTTTTTTTAGCATCTTATGCATTAGGTCTAGTTTACTCATACCAAATTTCAGCTAAAAATTCAACCAAGAAGGCAGTCAAATGATTTTCTGAAATATACTGCGCTATTTAACTGCGCAATTATCTTCACAAATTCATTTGACTGCCTTACTGATTTCCCCATCCAAACGTTGACTGACAAAAAAAACTCTCTTACTTTATATATCAAAATTTTATCAAATTTGATTCTGGTTTTGCGACTTTGTAAAGCTTTTAATGTAGTTTCTGAATATGTACTTTTAAAAATAATTTGAGTGTGGACAGGGACCCATTTGCTTTATCATAAGTCAAACATCGTAAACCGTAAAGTGTCTTACAAATTGGGACAGAGGGAGTATTTTACTAATAAAATTAAGAATAAATATAAGAAAAAATAGCTAAAATGATCCTCTACAGTAACAACAGCAAAAACAGCCAGAAAAGTAATTTTAACATTACGTTTTCTTATTATTACACAATTCAGCGCGCGAAATCAAAACTTATGTGTTTGGTAAAAAAGTTGTCTGATCAGCCTGATAAGCCGAAAAACAAGGTCACCAAACGGACTCAACAGTGTTTAGACATGTTATTAGATGACAATGGTACGTGGGAACCTAATGAATAGTTCGAAAGACTCGGATTTAAATCTCTCAATATCTTGGAGACTTCTTTAGAGCACGCAAGAATTAGTTTGGCGAAGTCGGATTACTTCGTACTAACAAAAAAATTGTCATTATATATGTAAATACTTCGGTACATATTTGTGTTTATAGATTATTACCATCATCATCATCATCATTAGTACTACTACTACTACTATTACTATTATTGTTATTGTTGTGACTATTATTATAATCATCATCATCACTATTACTATTGTTATTTAGATTTATAAGATTTGATTATATTGTTATTTGCTTATTATTACTCTTACTACTATTAGAGCATCTTTAATGGGCATATGGATTCCACCCTTTAAAAAATGGACATGTCACTCAAATAGAAAGGAGAGAATTCTCCAAATAGGAGTAAAAGATAGGCAAAATGAAAAAATAGGAGTACCATGTTTTGAATAGGAGTAACTTTAGTGTTTAGACAAGTATATCCCTACCCAAGCCCCAACAACTTTCATTAATAATTAAAACATAAAAGGAATAACATTAATTTATAATAAAATTGTAAAAAAATGAAAAAACACAAAAATATATCAAATAAAACATACTTCGTATTAAATAAAATTAATAAAAATAAAAATTATTAAAATAAAAAATATTAAATAAAAAACTAAAAAATTACAATTAAAAAATAAAAAACTAAAAAAAAATATGTAGGCGGCTGCCGCCGCCTCAACAACCTCCCAGCACCACCAGCTCCGACCACCGAAAAAAATGCCAACATTTTTCCGAAATGCCATCATGATGTCTAACACACTTGCAAACACTCGGCCACACTGCTGTCTCTCGCTAAGACTACAAAACTCGCAGTTATGCGGCGACATATTTATAGACAAGCCACGTCTGGCAGTTACAAGCCAACTGCCTAGCCTAAGGGACGCGTCTCTTCGCATGTGGCAGTTACCAACCGTCTATGTCGCGGCCTTCCGGTCTGCCCAAGCACTTGTTCGCCCGAAGCCCTCAACTGCCTTGCCACCGGTTCGCCCCAAGGCACCTGTTCGCGTGTAACCGCCCTGCCCTTCCAGACTTGAGTCATGCCGCACCGAACCAACACGCCTCTTCGAGCTTTCACTCATCCCGTGGCCTAACCCAGGCCACCCACGAGCCAACTCTATGCCTTGAGCTTGTGACCAACTCTCGTTGCCTTGCGCCCAGCTTGCCCAAGTCCCACTTGTCAACCGGCCAACCAACCCTCGTTGCCACTGAAGCTCCCAAATTTTGTGACTGCCCAAGGACAGCCACGCCCCGGGCTCAAGCCTGGCCACGCACCACGCACTACCCTTGAGTCGCCCACGTGCCACCTTGAGCCACTTGCTTTTGCTGTGCCTCCAAACTGTTGTTCCGCATCCCGTAAGCCATGCCCCGCATGCCACTGATCTTCACCAACACTTGGACCACATGCCGGACCCGCACACCCATAGTCTCCCTTGACCATGTCATGCCGCCCAGTTCGAAAGACTCGGATTTAAATCTCTCAATATCTTGGAGACTTCTTTAGAGCACGCAAGAATTAGTTTGGCGAAGTCGGATTACTTCGTACTAACGAAAAAATTGTCATTATATATGTAAATACTTCGGTACATATTTGTGTTTATAGATTATTACCATCATCATCATCATCATCATCATTAGTACTACTACTACTACTATTACTATTATTGTTATTGTTGTGACTATTATTATAATCATCATCATCACTATTACTATTGTTATTTAGATTTATAAGATGTGATTATATTGTTATTTGCTTATTATTACTCTTACTACTATTAGAGCATCTTTAATGGGCATATGGATTCCACCCTTTAAAAAATGGACATGTCACTCAAATAGAAATGAGAGAATTCTCCAAATAGGAGTAAAAGATAGGCAAAATGAAAAAATAGGAGTACCATGTTTTGAATAGGAGTAACTTTAGTGTTTAGACAAGTATATCCCTACCCAAGCCCCAACAACTTTCATTAATAATTAAAACATAAAAGGAATAACATTAATTTATAATAAAATTGGAAAAAAATGAAAAAACACAAAAATATATCAAATAAAACATACTTCGTATTAAATAAAATTAATAAAAATAAAAATTATTAAAATAAAAAATATTAAATAAAAAACTAAAAAATTAAAATTAAAAAATAAAAAACTAAAAAAAATATGGAGGCGGCTGCCGCCGCCTCAACAACCTCCCAGCACCACCAGCTCCGACCACCGAAAAAAATGCCAACATTTTTCCGAAATGCCATCATGATGTCTAACACACTTGCAAACACTCGGCCACACTGCTGTCTCTCGCTAAGACTACAAAACTCGCAGTTATGCCGCGACATATTTATAGACAAGCCACGTCTGGCAGTTACAAGCCAACTGCCTAGCCTAAGGGACGCGTCTCTTCGCATGTGGCAGTTACCAACCGTCTATGTCGCGGCCTTCCGGTCTGCCCAAGCACTTGTTCGCCCGAAGCCCTCAACTGCCTTGCCACCGGTTCGCCCCAAGGCACCTGTTCGCGTGTAACCGCCCTGCCCTTCCAGACTTGAGTCATGCCGCACCGAACCAACACGCCTCTTCGAGCTTTCACTCATCCCGTGGCCTAACCCAGGCCACCCACGAGCCAACTCTATGCCTTGAGCTTGTGACCAACTCTCATTGCCTTGCGCCCAGCTTGCCCAAGTCCCACTTGTCAACCGGCCAACCAACCCTCGTTGCCACTGAAGCTCCCAAATTTTGTGACTGCCCAAGGACAGCCACGCCCCGGGCTCAAGCCTGGCCACGCACCACGCACTACCCTTGAGTCGCCCACGTGCCACCTTGAGCCACTTGCTTTTGCCGTGCCTCCAAACTGTTGTTCCGCATCCCGTAAGCCATGCCCCGCATGCCACTGATCTTCACCAACACTTGGACCACATGCCGGACCCGCACACCCATAGTCTCCCTTGACCATGTCATGCCGCCCATGAACCGAACATGGTTTCTCGCAGTGCCAACCGTTCTTCCCTCATACTTGGTCTAGCTTGCCTTGTCTTGACTAAGTCCCCGTGCCCTAGCCAAACTTCCACCTTGCCCGTTCCTCGCAATGTTGCAATGCCGCGGCATACCTATGCCTTGGCCATTGCCACGATGACTTTGGCCGCATCCCATGCCCCGAAAGCCACCCTATCGAGTCCAACCATGTCTCGATAAAGACCCGCCAAAAAGGGGTCTAACAATAGGCCATATCATTTCGTAGAGGCTATCTGCACCCTTGCACCGCCAGAAAACTTAAAATATGAATTTCGTTGATATGTGTGTGGGGTCTGTCTATACAGTTTTTCTCTAAATTTCATCACCGTTAATAAGATACACTCAACATATTTTTTTACATATTAGTTTAGTAAAATATTAATAAATTATTATAAGCAAGGTTTACCTTTGATTTTTTTTCTTGAACAATTATGATTTTAAAAATGACATTTCGATGTTACAAGATAAATAAGTGTTACTTGTTTTGCTTCTTTTTTAGTTTGTAAAAAAAATGGATTCAAATAATGTTTGATTATTTGTAGAGGCATTATGGATTAAAATTTTGAGTTTCGCCTTTTTAAATCACAATCCAGTATATTACATACTCATTAAAACTATTTCTCAAAATATATACGAATATACGAAGTACATATTTAATTACTGTCTAAGTACATATTTAATTATTTGTAGAGGCATTATGGATTAAAATTTTGAGTTTCGCTTTTTTAAATCACAATCCGGTATATTACATACTCATTAAAACTATTTCTCAAAATATACACGAATATACGAAGTACATATTTAATTAAAAAAAAGTTCTTTTTCATGGGGCCCTTTTCCGATCAGCTAACAAGGCCTGCAGCCCATTTCTTCTGCCCTCTGCTTTTCCGTTTTCTTTATTTCTTTTGGGCTATCAACAAGCCCTCCATTTTTAGCTCCTTCACATCCCCTCCATTTTTAACCACTTCATTTGCTCCAATGTAACAGCTTACTAATCCAAGATCACCATTTTTACATTTTGAATTTCCTAATACCTTTGGACTACAAATAGTGTAAGAAAGTCAAATGTACCTCTCCTCAAAACAATCAGTGTATTAGTCATAAGCTCATAATATGCTCTATATACATTGAACATGATACAATATTTTGTATATGACTTGAATTTAGTCATATACATGTTATTACTTCGATATATTACAATGTCAAAAACTAGGAAGAATAACGCTGGCTTCTCTCCTCATTTCAATTATTTCAACTAAAAAACTAACAATTGAATGACTTTGTTTAATATCTTTTAGTAAACATAGACTCATAAGCTTTATCGGCTAAGCTTGATGGGCATCATCTTCAGGTGTGCATATCCACAGATCATCGTCCAAGCTCTGGAATTCACCAAGCAGATAACCATAATTATCAATTATGGGAACTCCATATTTCAAAGAAAAACTCACTTCTCTCCCATTGGCCATGGGAACCCACGTCCCCAACCACATTCCTCCATCTTCCTCATCCTCGAAATGATGAACTTTCTGGGATTGGAGAGTTTGAAATGTTCCCAGACCAAAACTATCTTCCGTAATTGGGTGAATCCCAACTGGCGAAATCTTCGCCATTTTCTTGATCCTAATCCGTCTAGGTACATTAAAATTCTGGGGCAATCGTCTCACACATTGGTTATCCTGAGTAGCAGCTTCTTCTGAGGTTTCATTGTTAATGATTGGGTGTGAGTTGATTACTGGATAACAATTATTTAATCCTTGTTTGGATCTGGCGGCACTCCTCGTGATTGGCCCCGGTCCTGGATCCGGATCGGTCAGCGGGTTCTTTCTCTTTTGCTTCTTCTTTTTTCCTTGTTTGGATTTTGCAATTCTCTTGAACTCCGGGTTCTTGAACGTTCCATGCCTAACGTGCCGCCATTGAAACTGCGACTTTAGCTGCGCTCCACACCGCCCCCTCTTACTCCTCCTAAGGCCAGTCGTTGTTATCGGGATATGACCCGTACACGAATCAGGATCCATATGTGAAACGGGCTGATCTTCCGAATTCTTAGATGGATAGGGTTGTGGATCCGGGTCCGAAACTGCGCTCTTCTCCGACTCAGTCAACAGGACGGGAGGCGAAGAAGGCTTAATGTTAACGTTAACACCAAAGGGCAGAATCCTGATTTTCTTCTTCTTAATCCTCTGTTCGGCTTCCTCGAATTCCAGCTTCTTTTTACGGTAAGCATTCGAAGCTGCCGCCTCAGAATCAAAAGAGCCAAGCCAAATACGCCGCTTGTTAAACGGGTTCCTGATCGTCGCCCCCCACTTACTCCCCTTTTTCCTTACACCAGGGTTTGACGGTTTCGGGTTTTGACCCGGACCAATGCTGGAATAGGATGCCGGATCCGGATTGGCAGTCTTCTCCGGCTCATGTCTAACGCTATCAACTGGAACTGGAAGAACCTCAGTCTCCTTTATTCCTTGTGTAGCTTCCTCGAATTCCAGCTTCTTTTTAAGGTAAGCATTCGAAGCTGCCACCTCAGAATCAAAAGTGCCCAGCCAAATGCTTCGCTTGTTAAACGGGTTCCTGATCGACACCCCCCATTTCCCCCCCTTTTTCCTTACACCAGGGATTGGTGGTTTTGAGTTTTGACCAGGACCAATGCTGGAATAGGATGTCGGATCCGGATCCGGAACGGCAGTCTTCTCCAGCTCATGTCTAACGCTATCAACTGGAACTGGAAGAGCCTCGGTCTCCTTTATTCCTTGTGTGGCATTCTCGAACTCCAGCTTCTGTTTAAGGTAAGCATTCGAAGCTGCCTCTTCGGAATCAAAACTGCCAAGCCAAATGCGCATCTTGGTAAACGGGTTTCGGATCGTCGCCCCCCACTTCCTCCCCTTTTTCCTTACTCCCGGGATTGGTGGTTTCAGGTTTTGACCGGGACTAATGTGGGAATCGGATTTCTGACACGGATCCGGAACTGCTATCTTCTCTGGCTCATGGCTAACGCTAACAACTGGAACAGGAAGAGTCTTGATCTTCTTCTTATTTCCTTGATTGGCAATCTCCAATTCCAGCTTCTTGTTAAGGTAAGCTTGCGAAGCTGCCTCCTCTGAACCAAAAGTGCCCAGCCAAATGCGTCTCTTTTCAAACGGGTCCCTAATGAACGCCCCCCACTTCCCTCCCTTCTCTTTCCTTACGCCAGGTTTTAATGGTGTCGGGTCCTGAGCCGGAACCGTCCGGGAATCGGGTTTCGGATCCGGATCTAGAACGGCCGTCTTCTCCGGCTGATCGCTTACTCTAACATCAAAGGGAAGAGTCTCGATCTCCTTGTTTATACCTTGTTTGGCGTTCTCGAACTCTAGCTTTCTAGAAACGTAAGCTTGTGAAGCGGCTTCTTCAGAATCGAAAGTGCCCAACCAAACGCGGCGCCGGTCATGGGGATTCCGGATTTCTGCGCACCATTTCCCCCACTTCCTCTTCCTGACCCCAGGGGCATATCTGCGTTGTCTGAATCCCTTATCGGTCTCCAGATCCGAAACGTGGCTATTGCCCGGCACAGTCAACGGCGATGGAATTCCGGTCAACGAAACCGGATCGCTGGTAGATTTCCCTGATTTCGCCGGTGAACGGATAAAGCCCTCGTAAACAGCTCTTTTGAGACGTTTGATTTTGGTTTCTTGATCAGCTTCGTCGGAAGATGAATCGGTGGCTTCTGGGTCCGGGTATGTTACCAGAATTTTGACTTTTCGAAGATCCCGGGTTTCTTCTCCGGCCATACTTCTTCTGCATCGAATCAGATGTGTTTCTAGGGTTCTTGGATGCAAATTAAAAATTGTTTCATTTTTCTTATTGACGAAGAGTCGTAAACTAATGTACTCCGTACTACGTATATAGTATCCCTGATGTAAAATTACATGACGATGCGGCTGAGAATGTTTTTTTGGACAGAAATTTGACGGTATGGTCTTTTTAAGTATCCTTGATCTGGTCTAATTTGATAAACGTCTGATCTTTGTGTATTTTATAACTATGAAAATCTGATCTGATCTAGTCTGATCTGTTTAAGTCTGGTCTGGTCTGGGACTGAAAACAGTCCAAAAAAACATCCTAAAATAGTACTTTTATAATTAATCTACGTATAAACGTAGTAAATATGAAAATGATCATGAACCAAAATAAATACGGACTACCAATCAACGGGAATAGTTATGACTTATGAAGTGAAAATAATCGAAAGTATTAATTATCTCAAAATAATCATAATTATTAAAAAAATCTTCTTGAAATACTCTAATGATTTATAATTATCCGTAAATACTACGTAATATATATGAGTAAGTGAAGTATTTTGAAAAGATTTTTCAATGGTTGAGATTATTTTAAGTTAATGGGAAAAGGGGCAAATACGCCCTCGAACTAACCAAAAAAGTGCAAATCACCCATTTTATAGGAGGCTCTGTCTGGCCGTCGCCATTTAGGACGGTTCCTGGTGGAATTTTTTGATAAATTCTTTTGAGCATCTTCTCCATCAAGTCTAATTTACTCATACCAAATTTCAGTTAAAAATTCAAACGGGAAGGTAGTCAAATGATTTTTCGAAATATACTGCGCTGTTTAACTGCCTTCCTGATAGCACTTACTCAGTTATCTTCAAACATTTATTTGACTGCCTTCCTGATTGCATTTTAGCTGAAATTTGGTATGGGTAAACTAGACCTGATCGAGAAGATGCTCAAAAGAATTCATCAAAAAATTCCACCAGGAACCGCTCCAAATGGCGATGGCCGGACAAAGCCTCCTATAAAAGCGGTGATTTGCACTTTTTCGATTAGTTCAAGGGCTTATTTGCACTTTTTCCCTAAATTAATTGATACTTTGCATTATTTTAAACAGATCACCAATAGTTAGGATTATTCTTTTTCATTTTTCATTATATATATATTAATGTATATTTTTAGGGTTATATGAGTATATTTGCACAGAGGGAAAGATCAATGATATATTTGCATCTTACCCATTTACTCGGAATGAATAATTATCAAACAAATTACCGAGTAAAGAATAGTGTCATTCACGAACAAATTATTCATTGTAGTTATTTTGTCTTTATGCGATTGTATAATTGTTTATTTTTTTTTATATTTACTAGATTTTTCACCCGTGCTTCGCACGGGATGCAATTAGTAAGCAAAAATTGATTTCCAACATATAGAAGTGTTGTATAAAGATAGAACAATGCATACACTATTTTTAACAAAAGCACATCAAGATTAAAAAAATACAAATTACTCGTGCGTTGCACGGGATGTCAAGATGTGGTTCATAATTTTATTTTCTGTTAAATATTAGTTATGTTCTAAAGTAATTGCGTTGGGTTAAATTTTACATTATTCATATGCTCTACTTTGATTATAATTTATTTTACTAATGTATTAGCAATTTTTGAAAATATTATTAAATTCTTCTCAATACAAATTTTGAAAATATTATATGACTTTAAAATTTATTTCCCGTACGAAGCTCGATCAATGCGGTCCATTTCAGCCCATCTGGCATATCCTTGCCCATGCAACCCGTTTCAGCCCATTTGGCCCTTTCAGCCCATTAGGGATCCCTAGGGGTGGACCCGGGCCGGGCCGGTTCCGGTTCAGGCCTGGGCCCGGCCGGGCCTTTTTTTGGGAATGGGGAACCGGAACCGGCCCGGGTAGGTGGCGGTTCCGGGCCGGACCGGTTCCGGTTCTTTTTTTTTTTTCGGTTTTTGATTTCTTATTTATTTCATCCCCCACCACCCCTATCCTCCCCAACCCCCAAACCCCTTGGATACACCCAGCCCAGCCCAACTAAACCCAACCCAAACCCAAAAAAAAACCAAAAACTAAAAATAAAAAAGGCCCGAACCGGGTCTGGATGGGCCGGTTCGCGTTTTGCATGACCCGGGCTCGGAACCGCATCACCCCTCGGGCCTAGGCCCGAACTGGAACCGGCACCTGTTTCCCGGGCCGGGCCGGTTCTAAAGAGTAGCGTTAGCCCGAACCGAGTCCATCCCTAGGGATCCCTCTTCTTCTATAAGACCACCTTCTCTCTAAAATAGATAAAACTCCAATAATGAGAGCTTTTGTACGCCGTAAATGGTGAGGAGAGATTAATAAATAAATAAAAATGGTTTGGAGACAGTTTAGTGAGACTATATGCTCTATTCCATCACGGGGAAAGAAAAAATCAAGAGTCAAATGCAAGAATCTTGATACAACAAATGTGTGGGTACGAAAGTTAATCGTGCCTTACTCTAATATGGATAATGGCACTCGATTTATATATTTGAGGCCCTGCCATAATTATTGATGACTTGGGCAGTCTATTGATTCTTCATTAGTTGGTAAAAAGCTTTCTAAAAATGGAAGATTTTTTAATTGCTTAAATCTGGATTTCGCTTAGAAAATAATATTCCCTCCGTCCCATTTATATTGTCTCGTTTTACCTTTTCGGGAAGTCCCACTTAAATTGTCTCATACCATATTTGTCAAAGTTTGTGTGGCTCTAAATCATTCTTACTTTATTCTTACTTTATCAATTAATATCAACCACACAAACTCACTTTTCTTAATAACCGTGTCACCCTCTTCCGGGACAATATAAATAGGACGGAGGTAGTAATAATAAACGAAATAGTGTATTGTATATTTGAGGCCTGACATTATTATAGATGACTTGGACAGTCTGCTGATTCTTCAAATTGATGAATATGTACTTAATGTAATAGAAATAATTGTTAAATGGAGATCAAAGGGAACTCATTTACTTCATGATGAAAAGGAAGATTGCTGAACCATAAAAGGAATATAACTCACTACCTTCAATCCTGTAGTTTATAGTTACAATCTCAAAAGTGATAGAAGGAAATAAAAAGATAGCACCTTTGAGTTGTGAAGGTTAGTTTTAGCACAGTATACACGCAAGAATCTTGATACAATAAATATAACCTGAATATAATTTGTTAGAATGAACGAAAGTCATTACCATCTTGAGGATTTTAGTGAGAATGACCACTCACTACTATGCATTGAGGCTCCTGAGGTAAGGACCATTGTGATATCCTTTCATAAACCAACAGTTGGTGTTTGATACACATGCCCTAAAAAACATAACAAATATATTCCTATCGTTATAATAAAAGAAAATCCACTTTTCATGACCAAACACAAAAATGATAAAAAAAAAAATGACCAAACACAAAAAGATAGTCTGTCATGGAATTTTCTGGAAAAGTATTAGTGTTTGTACTTCATATAAAGTTATATAATCTATACAGACACAAAAGCTGAAGAGCAGTAGGTATTCACATCTAGTCACTAACACTATTGACACATACATCTTGTGTGTTCTGTACGGTTTTAATCAATCTGTGTAATTGTCTAAATTCCTATTACTTACTGATAAGGGAATTATCTAGCTTAAGATAAGAAAATAATTCCAAATACTCAAGGTATTTACCCCGAAAAAAATTGATGTTGTTAAACATGTTTTCACTGAATTCTTGCAACAGTTTGACTTTCACGTTTGCCAATGCACAACTTTGACTATAATTATACTCCCTCCGTCCCATTTATATTGTCCCGTTTTACCTTTTCGGGAAGTCCCACTTAAATTGTCTCATACCATATTTGTCAAAGTTTGTGTGGCTCTAAATCATTCTTACTTTATTCTTACTTTATCAATTCATATCAACCACACAAACCCACTTTTCTTAATAACTGTGCCACCCTCTTCCGTCCCAATATAAATGGGACAGAGGTAGTATTTAATTTTGTATTAGTAAACATTATAGAAAGTTGATATTTTGGAAATCTACATTGATAGGAATTCAATAACATTTCATACGTAATAATTTGTTTATAGATATCAGTAGAAAATTGTGGTCAAAGTAAGGTCTGTGAATAGTGCAAAATTCACAATGTTGCAAGAATTAAAGAACGGAGGAAGTAGTATATAAATCCTTCTATGAGTTCCACCTGAAGAGATTACATGAAATTTTAGTTCAATCGAAAGGAACTTATTATGAAAATTGCATACTTTAACTTGCACAACTAAAATTTCTAAAATAAATAAATAAATGGAAGTTCACTTGATCTCTCAACCAATTGTATTGATAATGTTTTCAATAATAAGTTTAAGGGTATTTGAAGTAAATGAAAAATTGCGATGAAGATTGGATAAAAAGATATGTGAAATAAAGAAAAAAAAACATATCATAAACAAAAAAAGAACAGAGATCCTAATCTTACATTCTTACCTATAAAGCCGCACCCTAAGTGGCCATAGAAAAAACGAAAAAAAAATAGCTAAATTTTATTTATGGCAAGAAACTGGGATGCCACAGATCTGGGACCATTCCATAAAAAAACATGAGTCATAGTCTGTAGATCTCAGGTAGAAATTATGTAGGAGGATTTGAGAATCTGGTGCGATCTGAGATAGGGCCAATATGGTGTAGCTGCCTAAGAGGTGGGCGTATGGAGTGCTTATTTATTCAGGCATGGCCCAACATACAGAAGAGCAAACAAATACAATTCAAATACCTCTAGGTATGTTGGTTGTAATAATGTTGGAGCTATACTAAACAAATGACCTATTAGAATGTGGGAGCCATACTAAACAAATGACCAAAAAGCTGAGATTCATTCTTGCCATACGATAAAAACTAACGTGGTGAACCAATGTAAAATTAAGAAAACTTAGCCCTATGCTGTTGAAGTATCTAGCAATGAAGCAGAAAGGGATGAGGGTGGAATTGATAAGGGTATGGGGGGAATTGGAGCTTGAAGATGAATCAGAGATGACTACTGTGGATTCTTATATTTCTGTAAGTGCACTCAGTCATTACAAACCATGAGGGTTACTGTTTACTACTAGAAGATGACATTATGATGGTCCCGGATAG